TTAAGCCGTCAATTCAAAGTTCAAGCGCTGCGTTTTTGCAGGGTGAGATGTCTGATCTGCAAGTCACGCAGTGAGTGTGTGCGCTTGTTCAAAGGCGAAGATTGAAAAAGCCAAACGCAGGCCTTCGTTGGCTTTGTTGGGAAAGCGAATGCGGCCGAGTTTCCAGATTGGCTTCACCATGATGTGATTGTTCTATTGGCCTAATTCATTGCTCCGGCGCATTCGTCGTGGTCCCACTTGATGTCAACGTTCATGCAGTCGAATTGTTTCATTGCGGATCGAAGACCATTGTGGCGGAATGACGCTGAAATCATTGATGTGTTTGCAGCAAAACGATTGGCCCATTGCAAGACGCGCCGGAGAGCATTGCGAGTGCTTGCGCAAGTGTTATCTACCAATTGTTTGCATTGTCGATTTTCTTATACATGCTCATGCTACATTCTTTCTGAAATGATTTTTTTTGAGTGATTGTGGCCAGTGCTCAAAGCGCATTGGCCAAGAAGCCGCGTTGGTGTGCATGTACCGACATTGGACCTTGCTGGACCACAGTGGCGTATTGTCCATTATGCACATTTTGGCTCCTGACCGAGTGATTGCAGACTGAAGCTGATTGTAACTCTGATTGAGCATTTGCTTGTTGATTGCATTGCATTCTTGGAAAGCTCGAACACGTTCTGTGAGCTTTTCATCCTCACCAACACCAAGGAGATCAAGGTCCTGCAGCGTCGTAGTCAACAAGTGCGGCAAGGGTCCGCGCAATGGCTTGAACATTGACAGAAACCTTGGCTACCTCGGCGGCAAGCTTCTTCTCAGAGGATCATCACATCAGACCATCAGGTTCTTGAAAAGGAAATTCATTTTTCACAATCACAAGCTTCGTACCACTAACCCGAAGTATCTTACCAAGCTTAAAGAAGAGTTGAAGCTTACCACGAAAGCCTCGAAGCCAACAGCTTGTACTCAAGAGTCTGAGAAACCCGACAACACAAATCTTCTTGACCAGAAACAAGCCACGACTTTCAGGGAATGTGAGGAATACTCCTGTACGTCGGACAAGATCGACGAGACTTGCAACTCTCAGTGCGATGGCTAGCGCCCAAGATGTCAGAACCTACTCACAAATCCCTGAAGCATCTTGTACTTGTGTATCATCTTGTGCACAGGAGAACACCTAGAGCACTTGGTCACCTTCATGAGTCCATCGGGAACGGCGGCTACGACTTGACAGGAATTCAGCCCAACGTGCCATTCAACTAGTTTAGATTGGGCAGATAAGAAGGACACCCGAAGATCCACATCCTCAGGAACAGTGTTTTCAGATGGACAAGTCATCCATTCTCGAGACAGAAAAGAGTGTGGCATTATCTTCAAGAGAAGCAGAGTACTATGCAGGAGCGTCAGCAGCTTCAGATAATATTCTTCTTGAGGAAGCTTCAGTTTCTCACAGGTAAAAGGTGCCAGGTACATTTGCAGTTGGATTCTTCAGCAGCTAAAGGAACTATTACAAGGCAAGGTGTAGGAAGAGTCAAGCAGTTGCAGATCAGGGCCCTATTTCTTCAGGAACTCCACAAGCAAGGAGGCTCCTGTCAGGAAAGCGGATCAAGCTACTTATGTGTTGGCTAGGATTAGGATTCCAAGATGAGAGCAATGAACTTGTAGGAAAACATGAACTCAAGGCGCCCGAGTGCAACAGCAAGGCAAGGCAAGCGTTAGGTTGATTAAAAGCAAAGGAAGCTTCGAGTTTGCAGCCTTGTTGTTTTCGGCGATTTCTGAAGGTTTCAGTTTTCAGTCTTCAGGAACAGTCATGTTGCAGGAGCTGACACGACCGCGTGTGCGCCAGGAACAGCGCATGTTTTAGGACAAGGTTGCGTGTGCAGTGACATGAGTGATTGCAAGGTAGGATCGTCGTGTGCAAGTGCAGGAATAGTTGTGCGACCGCAGATGATCGCCCAACTCAAGGAACGTGTCCAGGACCTGTCTAGCAGCCTCAGGAAGCAAGTAGAAGACGCCATGGCCGGCAGTGCCAGTTCCGGAACCGCGAGCTCGACTCTAACGTCGACAGCAAGTGTGGCAAAGGAACGCAAGGCCATGATGGTCGAGAACGCGTAGAAGCTCAGGACCCTGACGCAGGGACGAGAACAGGAACGCGACCTGATGCTTGAAAGCAGAGAGGAGCTCACTAAAGTGAAGCGAAGTGCGCAGGATCTACTTTCTGAACAGGAAATCACCCGGAACGAGCAGGAAAAGAACATCGCGATGTTGGCAGAAAGGATGAGCTGTCTGGAAGGAAAATGGGAGACGTTCGTAGAAGAAGAGGAAAACGCCCGCGAAGAATATGCAAACTACTTTGAAGATCACGACAAGCAGAAGCGTGACATCATGGAGCAGAACGAAAGGTTCAGAGAACAGCTGGACAGGATCGCCGAGAAGGAACTTCGGCGAGATGGGTATGGACAAGGAGCTACATCGTCGATTACCTCACCTACCAGTTCGCAGGAAAGGAAAAGGAAGAGAGAAGGCTCAGAGTGGCAAAGGAAGACAGAACAGGACCCAGACGAGGACATGAGCTGGTACGACGACAGGAAGCTTATTGAAGTTCAGGAATACTACACGCAAAGCTACCCAGGACCAGAAGGACCCGAGGACTACCTGGACGAGCACAGAGGACAAGAGGACGAAGAGGAAAAGAGGAAAGGAAAGAAAGGAGGAGCAGGGCCAAAGGACGACAAAGGAAGGCCGATCAACTTTACTCCCAAGGAGGAGGACAGGCAGCAGTGGGGGCAAATGGGAAAGAAGGAAGAAGAGAAGAGGCAGCAGAAGGAAGAGGACAAAAGGAAGCAGGAAGAAGAGGAGAAATTGAAGGAGTTTGCCAGGAAGAAGTTGAAGGAAGCAGCAGGGGGATAAAAAAGAAGGCTAGCAGCAAAGGTAGAAGCAAACAAAGCAGCAGCAGCCAAGCAGGCACAGGAGCACAAGAGAAAGAAGGCAGAAGCAGCCGCAGCAGCCGAAGCCGAGAGAGCAAAGGAAGAGGAAAGCAAGAGGAAAATCGAAGCAGCAAGGAAGGCAGACGAAGACAGGCCAGCAGAAGCAGTAGAGAAGAAAACAGCACTCGAAAAGCAGCTCGCAAAGGAAGCAGCAGGAGGAGACTACAAGGAAAGGATGGCCAAAATGAAGAAGTTGCTTGAGACACTGGTTGAGGAGGAGCAGCAGGACAGAGCAAGGATCAAGCAGTTGCAGGAAGAGTTGGCAAGCAACAAAGGAAGCGAGGCAGGATCCACAAAAGGAGACAAGGAAGAGGAAGACGAGGAAGCCCACAAGAAAGGACCGCAAAAGGAACAGGACTTCGTGCTGGGTAAAGGAGACCCAGAAGTCACATCCGATGATAACAAGAACCTTTACGTGATCTTTCCCTTCAACAAGGAATACTACCGGTGGAATTGGAACCAAGACTCGTGCTTTTGGTACCACTACGACGTTAAGGAGAAGAAATGGATGAAAAGAAAGGAGAGAAGAAGGAGAGGGAAAAGGAAAAGGAGAAGAGCCAAGCTCAGGAGGAGCAGCGACGACATGAGCTACCAGCTACCAATGAAGAAAGAAGCGAGGATCAAAGGGACAAAGAAGGATCAAAGCAGAAGCTAAAGAGAAGCAAGGCAAAGGAAACAAAGGACCAAAGCCACCGGAAAGAAAGAGTGAGAGCGAGAAGGTCAGAGGAAAGAACTGAGTCGGTAGCCCTTTTTTGGGAGCAACTTCTGTGCAGGATGGGGTATCCGTTCGCGCTCACTAGGAACTCGTTTTGCGTGGCAAGGATGATGATCCAAGTACGACCAGTTTTCTTGTGTTAATGTAAAGGAACACTTGTACAACATTAGCAATCCGAGGATTACGAGTGGACGTTTGGCAGCCTGCCTGAAAGGAACTTTCAAGCAGTGTGTTTCGACACGGAATAGTTCGAAGCCAGCTAAGTCTGGAACGAGTTTACCTAACTTCGAAGGTGGGGTGTTAAACATTACTGCCAAGTAGGAACACGCAGTTTACTGTATAGGAAAATGCCGTTGTCACAGCAGGGCAGCCAGGAGCGACTTTGACGCTCAGGCTCAAGACCTGTGCACCAAAAGTGCGACCACAGGAAAAAGTGTGGACCGCCGTATTCTCTGATTTGTGGAAATATTCGCGATCATATTAATTGCACATGTCGTGTTTTGCAACAGAACAAGGACATCCTCCCGAATGGATGATCACTTTATTTTACTTTGCAAAAACTTTTCAGGTTTTCCACACGCAATTGTACATGTGCGTTAGCTGCAACAGTTTGTTGTTGAACATGTGGACGATACTCATTCCCCTCGCTCGCCTTAAGCGGAGGGAGGGTGGGACAGCAACATAAGTTTGCCGTATCTTTTTGTCTCGCCCAACCCGCCCTGGTGGTGTTGACCCTATCCCTGCGCCGTTGTGAGCTCAGGGACTCGTGGCATTTCCCCTCTGGAATCTAAAGAAGGCCTGACCGAGTGACTGTTGTTATTGGTTTGACATGTATATGTTATCTTAGAAGATCGTTCAGAATATACGTTTGAATTGTATATTGCTTTTTAAAATGTTCGCGATCATAACGATTGCACATGTCGTGTTTTGCTAAAAATAACATTGCCGCAATTACCACAAGCAACACACCTCCAGCACCCGAACATCACATGTTGCTGTTCCTCCCCATCCTCACTTTGCTATGTCGTTTGGGTGCTATGAATAAGCTGTGAGTTCAACAACACAGAAGCTTTTGCACATGTGCGACCGATTGATTTTCGAGTATTCCAATAAATGAGCTATGAATGTGGCGAACCATCATCTGTGACAATGTGTAAACTCATCAATGGAGGGACGTGAATAGGAGGTACGGCAGGTGTAAAAGTATAGAAATTACGTCAATATACCGCCGGCCGCAGGCTAATGACTGCTGAGCAATGGCTTGCAACGGCTGACCGGCAGGCGCTCTGCCGTGAACTGAAACAATGGCCACTTTGCCAGCTCCCCCTTCAGTGGGTGCAGCGGCTGCCATTAGCTTGTTGGGGGGCAACCCGGGCACGTTTGCAGCTACAGCGCCAGCTGTGCCCGTCACTCCAGCGCCGCCACCAACACGTGATGACGATGTGCTTGGGGCTGTGATGGCCAAAGCCGGCGCGCCGAGCGCACCGCCATTGCCGCCAACTGCGCCGCCAAGCATTTCTGTCCTGAGCTCAGATTTTCGAGTTGGTTTTGCTGTCAGGTGGGGCATCGAGACATAGTAAGTTTGGTCCGGATGCTGCTGATAGTGATGGTATCAACCACCGAAGCAACCACGGCAAAAAACTTTTGCATTATCGCAGCACGAGTGCCGTTTCAAACGGGGTGTTCCGACACGAAGGCCGACGTGGCAAACACACATGCAAAGACGGCAGACGGCCATCTTGTCCGCATCGTCACGCTCTCAGTTTCGAGTTTCGTGCATTTTGCATCGTGCTGATCATGTTTGCACAGGAGCAAAGCAGAAACGATGCCAGTGTGCTTGAGGGTTTCTTGCGCAAGGCAGGATTTGCTTCTCAGGGTTTTACCTTTGCAGCTTTCTGCCTTGGCCAGCATGCTCCCGACAGCGCGGTCGAAGGCGAAAGGCGCAAGCGTCGACCTGAGAAGTGCAGCACCTGCCATGAGCCGTGCCGTGCCGTGTGACCCAGGCCGCCTCCGATCGCAATACCTCCGAACAACGTGCCGCAAGCTTCTGCGCAGGCACAAGCTTTGCAGAGTAGATCCGAGGTGCCATGAAAAGCAATGGCCAGATGCATTCATGCAGACGCGGTGTGCGTGGCTGTGTGCTCAAACGCCAAGCTGTGTGAATAGTCATGGTCCTTTTTGAGAAGCAAAGCTATACAGACATGCACTTTGTGTTGGCGAGCTTCGACATGAGGCATAGGATGTGATCCAGGCAGTACGCAGAGCCTGGTGAAAGCCCCACAGCCGCCCTAGCGGGCAGAATGAGGAAAACAAAAAAAGGCAGATTCGTGTGATAAGATGCCTCCCACCGGCCGCTGTTGGCCGTAGGAGCGGCTATGGGAGCAGGCCCGAAGAGAGTTGGGACTGGTCGAGAGGAGCTCGGTGTGGATTCCTGCTTTGAGGTGCTTCAGCTGCAGATGGCCGTGTTTTCTGTCATGGCTGCGGGTCTCGGACGGTGGAGGACTTGGAGCGATGAACGGCCGGCCTTGGCTCCATGTTTCTGAGCAGCTGAGGCCATGGTTGAAGGGGTGGAGCGCCCCCGTGGCGAGCCCAGCCGAAGTTTCAGACCTGCCTGAAACCGGATCACAAAGCCTTTTCAATGAGGTTGCACAGTCTGCGGTGCAACGGAGTGCGTGGAGGTCACGGATGCTTCAAGCCCAAGCGGTTTTCTCCAAAACTTGTTGCACCCATGTCCACAGCCGGGGTGGGCAGAAGCGGCTTCTAAGGCTAGGCTCCCAGTTACATCACCCACTTCGGCCATGCGAGCTTTGTCGTTGGGACTGGACCCCAGTCCTTCCGGGATGCAGCCTTTCAAGATGTGCACTTCCATAGCCTCGTTCCACCAGGTGCTTCCATGCCATCAAGTTCCGTGGTGCCAGCCACCTCCTTGCGAGTGGAGCATAACCGGCCTGTATGGTGTTTGTTCTTTTCCTTTTTTTGCACAATATCTTCAGATGAGCTATTCGCAGGGTCGCCTCGGCAGTGAAGCGAGCAGGGGAGCGGGGGGCGTTTGCCGGTACAGCAGGGTGAGGAATTTTTTGGGGTGAGCGATAGCATGGCCTGCATCGTTTTTGTGGCTGGGGAGGCGGGGAAGGTATTCGACTCGGGACGAGGAGTGCGCACCAGCAAGAGCATGCTTGTCGCCTGACGCAACCCCTTGCGAGACATGGAGGTGTCTATCCTGAACCAACCCTATAGCAATGGGCACAATGCCTTCAACCCTATACCCTAAACCCCAAACCCCAAAGATTCACGTCGATTCTGTGATTCCGTCCTCGAGCCCTTTCTCCTTCCCACGGAGTCCGCCAGGTCAGTCACGGTTGTTGCGCTAGAACGCCCGGAGGAGCTCTTCTCTTCAGCGCTTTCCATTTCGATTTTAGCCAAGAGGAACACATTCAGAAATAAACAAACAGGTAAGTAAGTGAAGAAATCTATAATTGTATATGTATATGTTTATCTATTTAAAACTTTATTTGTTTATTTATTTATTTATCTATCTATCAAGAAGTACATAAACAGATATAGGTGTATATATATATATACACACACACATACACACACGCACACACACACACATACAAATATAAGTATATATATATATATATTATGCATATCTATGGACACAAATATGCATCTGCGTAGGTAGACATATAGTCATACGGGCACCCTTGAGAGGATGGCGGCCTCCTGCTTCGTGTATTGCCAAATGTCGTAGCGCGGCAGCGGGTTGTTTCTGGGGAGAGTGAACCAGGCCGGTTTAGGGCGAGAAGTTCCGTGATTTACTTTGACAATTTTTCTTGCCTGCCTCAGGGAGCCTTTCTGCCTCGTTGAGTTTCGGTGTCGAGGATATGGACCAGGAGCCTCCACAACGTTTCCTTGGCCACGGACTCCACTCCTAAGCGGTTCAAGTGCTCTTGGCGACAGGATGGGGAGCTTCCAGCAGAGCCTGCCTGTGACGCCTTCGTCTCCAGGCTCAAGGTCCCGCGGAGAGTGTGTTGGCGTGTTGCACCACTCAGCTCAACCCGTCTGTGGCAATGCCTGAAGACAGGCCTCCCCTCATCAGACGGTTTGCGGAGGGCATTGCGTTTGTGTCATCTGCGCAGAAGACATTGTGGAGGTGCGATTGTGTCATTCATCTTGCAGCCTTGTGGGCATAGCCGTCGGGAAGAACATGTCGAAGAGCATGTTGGTGCAAAGAATTAGGGACGTCGGGTTGAGCATAGTGAGCAGGCGGAGAGAATATAGCAAGCGAACGTGCAGCGCATGTGCAGCCTTCTCAATTGGACTTGAACGCGCAGTGCACCACCGTGTCAGAATGGCACTCCCGTCGTAACGCTGAACTGCCAGCACGTGTTCCATGAGGCAAGGCCATGTTGGGGGCTGGGCCTGGGCACTCGGATGTCCAGAGCTGGAGGACTGCATTCGACGCTGGCTGACGCGACGGCATACTTGCCCGACCTGCAGGCAAGCCTCATGATCTGATCCTGCCTGGCTCTTCTCAGCCTTGTTCGCAAGTGCCATGTCGACAGGTTGGAGCTGGAGGTAGATGATGTTAGGCACAGCAGTCGAGGGTGCTGTGCGCGTAGCTGGGGGCCATGCCGTACCTGTCCGCGCGTGCTAGGTATTTACGCAGCATTGGCCTTAAGGAAGAGGCCGATGCTCTGGAGAAGGCGCAATCCTTGTCCAGACTAGGTGACAATGCGGGTTTTCAGCATGAAGATTCGGGTTAAGTCGCGCAGAACGGTGCTGCTTGCAGGTTAAGCAGGAACGCATTGCCCAAGAGCAGCAGCAGCAGGCAATTCGGCACAAGTCGTTTCGCCACAGGCGGTACCTTCTATCTCGCTTCATGCTGGTTGTCATGCGCATTGCTTCCCCGAAACGTAGCCTGCTCGTCTTGCACAGATCTGTGCGTGCCCTTTCGTTCTCCCCACATGTTGGAGCATGCTTGCTGTTCTGATTGCATGAAGGCAGCAGAGCGACGCAGATGGGTGGAGCATACTTTGCATGTTTGCTCCCAGATTTTCGATCGAGGGGAAACATACCGGAACATGTTTAGAGGTCTATGCGTCGCGGTGAGCCTGTTCACTTCGGATTGGTATGTGGTTCGTGTCAGCTTCTCAGGACGCATCTCTTGCAAGCTGTTTCCATGACATGTTCTCTGACTGAGGTGCTGTCTCGCCGGTGGTGGGTGATTGCTACCGCTGCAAGGACTGTGAGGACTTTGTCTTGTGCCTGGAGCTCACCTTTGAGTGCTGTTGAAGTTATAGTATGTTATAGTATACTGTAACACTAAAAAACTATGTAGCTGTAGCACTTTCCTCATTGCCACATTCTTCTCGCAAGTGTTTCGCCGATCCAGGTGGAGAATGCTACAAGCAGCGTGAGGACAGTCATTTTGAATCGGCATGCGGGAAGCCGCCTGTGACTTATGGATGTGCTCGGCTCGATCGGTTTGGCCTTGTTAGGACTGGCATTCTCCCAGTCACAACTTTGTGCCCTTCGGCGTCATGCCAAGCACAGATCCCAGAACTCAAGCAGGGAGATTTTTCGGTATCCCAGAAAATGGCCGAAGCCAAAGCCGTCGGGGCCACGTCTTAGGCCAGGGCACCTCGACAGGCCCCTCGGCCAATTCGACTATGGGAAGCCTCCTGACGGTCGGAGCCTCGGGTCACATTGCCGGTCAAGGCCCAGGCACAGCGGGATGCGTTCGGCTTCTAGGTCTTGGTGCCTCCGACGGCAGCTCGGAGCTCGGGTTTTTGCCGGAAAGTCTCTCTCAAACCTGGAGGCCAAGGGTCTTGAGTCCGAAAGCTAGTCTGTTGTTGAGGCACGGGCACCAGTGGAGGCTCCGCCTGAGTCGCAGACCGACTCTGCGACAGCAGCTGCCGAGGCGAGGGAAGACCTGGGCAATCGAGGCAACACATCATCACTGTTCTTATTCCTTGTTGGTTATTGTTTACAAGCTACTGGTTATGATCATTGTAGTTGTGATCATTGTTGCTGTTGTTGTCATTATTCGTACTGTTATAAGTATGGTGGTAAGCATCATTATTATTGCCACTGTATTACGATTACTATAAATGGCAGCACATTGTTTTCAATTTACTGATAATGGTTGTTATTATTATCATTATCACCAACCTTCTTGCTACTACCGGAATTGTGTGGCGGTATCGGGTTGACAGGTTTTCGTGCAATAATGTTCTTGACAATATATATCTCTTGTCGCCACAAGTATTTTGCCTCAAGTGAGCTCCAACTGAGAACAGATCAAGTCTGGAATTCAGGGCGTGCAGAGCATGCTGGCGCAAACGACGATGAATACAGTCAGGTGGACCCCATGACCCTAAAAACTGCTTGAATCCCCCAAACCAGACTGACTTGACTCTGGCAATTTTTCATCGCACTGTGGCACTGCTTCATCGTAACGGACGAACCAAAACCCAGAAGAATACGAACAGGAGGGACGGTTGCAGTCGTGCTACCCGCACCCCGTGAGTTGTTCACCTACTTCCGTAAAAAAGCGTGGAGTGTACAGGGTGCGAGCTCAAGGTGTCGGCGGTCAAAAGGTTGAAATTGATTCATGGTCTAAAGATGATCGAAGATAAGGATTTCAAGCTGCTGTTGTCATGGAATGTGGAATATAGGTCATTTGTGGTGTGTGAACGGTTGATGCCTTTTGTGCTGCTTTGTTCTTGGGTTTGGAGCTATAGCCGACAACAACACCACGGCAGCATTCGTGGTGATTGACGGTTTGACCGGCTTGACCCGCTTACAGCTAGCTCCGTTTGCTTCTAGATAGGGGCTGACACTCATCCCAAAGCATTGGTGGCATAGCAGGCTTGACTCGTTGCTGCGGCGGTTGTTTCCGACACGAGACGACGTTCGCAGCGAATATAATTTTGACCCGCTTCGTGTTGTGTTGCTCTTGAGACCGAAGAACAACCGGATGGCATTCCTGCCTTTGACCCTTATCAGGCTACAACGACATTAGTTCGCATCGCTGGACGTTCATGGGTTGACGGGGGATGGGTTACAAGTGTTTTCATCGGTGTGACGGGAGAAACAGGTGCTGTCAGGTGCCAAAATTATGCCTTTACTTGCACCTACCCATGTACCTGCAAGTACCGGTTTGAAGCACCCAACTCGAAGCCTCACGGCTTAAAAGTGTTTTGGTCGTTCATGTCTTGGCCTGCTCAGCCTGGGTCTGGGAGCCCAGGAATGGAACAGTCCATAGACATGCTCCTGTTGGACTATTTTTGACACTTCCTTCACTGATTGCACCATGCCCTTCTATTGGCATGGAAGCTGGAGACCCGTGAGTACAGCGAAGCTGCATAAGCCCAAAGGCCCAGAAGCAGAATGGCCGCCATATGAAGCTGCGCGGCCGAACTCAACGCAGATCACGGGCAGAGACCAAGTGGAAGCTAAGCGGGCCCACACCCCAAGACATTTTTTTCCGCATTATATAACCTTGAGGTACGTTACGAAACTTGTGGCCGTAATTCCGCCTTCGGACATCTCGAAGTGTAGCGTTTGGCCATTTCTCCGTAGGGCAGACGGCATTCAGACACAAGAGCCGCCACAAAGCTGCAGGTGGCTTTCGCAGCGGTCAGATCTTTGGCGCTGGCCCCGCTAGCAGGCCTTTCGTCGCACAGGGAATGCTGCAAGGAGAAGCGGTTCCTTCATGTTGCTTTCTTCCTTCGTGCAGGCCGAGCCTTCCACCCGACTTCACCAGTCTCAGGCCACCGGGAGAAGCACGTTGAAGAGTCGGATTTTCCTGGGCTTGCAGGCTTCAATGGCAGAGGAACCAGCGCCAGCCTTCAATCAGGTCGCGACGACCAGCGACTCCCCTGTCATCCTCTCATCCTCTCATCTCAGAGTCCCCGCAGGCAGAACCCCGCGGCGGTGAGAGCAGCGTGGGTCCAGCATTGTTAGTGACCAGCTTGCGGTCTGCTAGTTCTAGTGTAAATAAAAGAAGGTGCAGCTCAGGAAGCTGCATCTTGCAGTATTAGCTCACTTTCAATTGCACCATGTGGCTTGTCTGAGGCAACCCACTCTAAAGTGTTGGCCTGTGGAATTCTAGACCACACGAAATGACCTCTTCCAGATGATACTCCCAGCAACTGTGAGCTTTCTGCATACGTGCTCCTGCCCTTGGGGGCGCACCTGCTTGCAAGCCAAACTAAAACAAAGCGGGCATCGACTTCCACAGGCAAACACTGAAACCCAGACTGCAAAGCAGTTGCGAAGCACTTGACGCCTACAGCACTCTTCGTAGATGTATCCTCATAGATGTAATACATTGTATTATTAAATAGATCAAAGGCACACGGAACCGATGGGCATCAGTCAAATGCAATTTGAGTTGAGCCGTGCTGTGAAGCTTGAGCGCACAAAAGTTGGAACTAGCATCCGATTGTGGTCATCGGTGGGTTGGCATTCCGCCATAGCCCGGTGAAGCCCAGAGTAGGCGCAGCATGACGATGCCATTCTGCGCCAGCTCGTGGTCGGAGACTTGTCATTTGTGGATGATCTTCCACTCAGCATCTCGCCCTGGCTTTCCTAAGGCAAAGGGTAACGGCAACAACGGCCGTCGGGAACTCGGCTTTTGAAGCTCCAGACTTTGCGGTCTCCACCGCTTGAAATCGCCGGAGCCTTCCGTGGCTACTTGGCTCGGGACGCCAGCGCTGAAGCCAGCTCTGTGCCTGCCCTTTGCCCCTGCCTGACGCCCAGTGCAGCGATGTGCAGCGGTTGCGTTCCGGGGTTTTGGGCGAGGGGCGTGACTTGCAGTCTGCCCCAGGCTGCAACCATGGCCTTCCGTCGCCCCATTCTCTGCACCCTGGCCCTTGCCGCTGCATGCGCGTGGCTCTTGCAGACGCCAGCCCAGGCATCTGACAGCATGGGAGTACTGGATCTGGGTCAGGGTCGGCTGCAAGAGTGCAAGAGCCGCTTGCGCAGACATTTGTGAGGAGACCGACTTCGTCGCGCCTCGTGTCCTCAGCACCGTCGCACCTGGCACCGAGACTTTCGCACAGAAGACTCCGCTCGTGATCATGCAGGCGTTAGTGTTGTGTTTCTGCCACTACACAGACCGACTCCACGTGTGTCAACTCTCCAAGAATCTCCTTGTGAGTCGCGCTTGCCAATGAGTGAAGGCTCTTCCTGAGCCGCGCCCCAACGACGCGATGCTTCCTGTGGAGCTGAACCGTACGTGCTGCTCCGAGCACGTGAAGTCTCCGATGCCCTTGCTGTCCGCATCGTGAGCATTCCGACTGAGGTCGTTGTACTGGGGTCTGCTCCTGATTTGCATCCTCTCGGTTCTCTTTTCCAGCTACTTCTTCAATTGAGGCCTGCTGCTCGGTCAGTGTAAGGTTGTTTTCGGGCACGGTCTTTCCGGGTGTGTGGATTCCTGTGCGCACTACAGCCGTTTCTCATTCTCCGTTTCAAAGACAGCGGGAGGCAGCTGGAGCTGGAGCTTTGGGGCGTCTTCGAGGCGCTGCCACGGCACTCCTTGGTCGAAAGCGGCTGTTTTTGGCGCTTCCACAAAGGAAGCCTACATGAAGCGCCTCACACATAGGCATGTGCCGAAGTGGGAGTGAGTGCTGTAAACCTGTCAGAAGCGGAAAAGGTGTCCAAACCGGGGGTCTTAGACGAACTTCGACGTAGCTGCACAGTCCAGGTTTCGCAGTGAATTCAAGGGCTTGAAGGAGCATCGTCGTTGTTGATTGGAGGTCTGTGGCTTGCCATGAATGTGAGTGGATTCGATCGGTTTGGATGCATCGAAAAGGATGCTGCATATCCATCTAAGATTTTTTGTTGGTATTGTGGTATTGTATCTAATCTGCTACATCCACTGCAGTGTACAAGACATTGCGGCCTGAGAGTGCCTGCATTATGGCAACGCAGCATGTCGCGCAGCACCGATGTTTAACTGAACACCTTTACAGCTAAAGACCACCATCTTCCGTGAACGGGGACTCGGAAAGCCGTGTCTGTTGCTGAGGCATGGAAGGCGCGCTGCAGGCCGAGAGCTGTGGTGATTTAGACAATCCCAAGACGCTAGGACGCTAGGCGTGAACAAGACACAGGCTGGCTCTTGGTGGAACAGTCTTGTTCCCATTTTTTTGGCAAATGCGTCAGCATAACAATCTATATGCAGGGGCCACGGAACCTTGAATTCCAGCATGGGTTCTCAAGACAGTTGCATACAAAGAGAGGCATCCTCATAAGCGGCAACCGCTTGATGTTAGCATCTGTGACCTAGAGGGTCGGACTTTGCACATTTGCAGGTGCAACCAGGTCTTAAGTCCATACTGCTATAGATGCACACGACTGTTGGATGCGAGGCGAAGCGGGACACTGCACCGTCGGCGCAGATGTTGAGGTTCGCAGAAGGCCCAAGATTGCTGTCTCTCGGTTTTTCCCAATTTTCGCGCGAGCGTGTGTTTGTGCGTGTGTCCGTGTGCGTGTGTGTGTGTGTGTGTGTGCGTGTGTGTCCGAACCTTTTCTCATGAAATCTGTTCGGACTTTGGCAGACTTGTCCAGGCGCTCCAGGAGCGCGCGGCACGAAAGCTGAAGGCACGTGAAGTGCTTTGATGTGCTCGAATTTGGGTGCACTTGTATGTCCACAGGTGTGCTATATACATACATGAAGACATCCACTCACACATGTCCATATACATCTGTACATGGATGGGTATACTTGTGTATATGCATACATGCAACTGCATAACTGAGCATCTTCTTCGGTTTTACACATACATAACGTACATGCATGGATACATCCGTACATGCGTTTGCTTATGCGATTCATACATTCCGACCGACCGTCCTTCTGTCTGTATGTCCGTCCGTCCGTCTGTATGCTTGTATGCATGTATGTAATGTATGAGTATGCAGGTATGCAGGCATCTTGTCCATTTACCTATCTGTGAAGCTTCGTGTGCACGACCGTGCCGGCGTCAGAGATCCATTGCGGCCGTGATCCCACTGAGGTTCTCAGCGTGGCGGTTACGCCGACTTTGGTCTCCTGGACAGCCGAGGCCGTCTTGGTGCAAGATGCAAAGAGCCCCGCGTGCCGAGGTGTAGGTTTCGGCATCTGAAAAGCTCTAGAGTTTGGCAGTTTGGGGTCAAGAAAGTTCTTGATCTCGAATTCCACGCAGGACAGCTTCGTTACGGGCTGCCCGTTGCACGGCGAACAGCACAACCGGAGAGGCGTGGGCAAGATAGCTTCGCTTCAAGCAGACCAGGGCTGGCACAGGAGGGTCTTGATGGGTCTCGCCTTGAAAATGACCCAAGAAACCCTAAACCCTAAACCCCTAATCCTCAAAGTCACTTGCAGAGTCGAGCCAAAAAAAGGCCTCGCGGAGCCATGCCGGGAAGAGCCGGTGCCAGGCAGCGCCTCCCCTGTCAGCTGTTGTCCCCCTTCTTTGGAAGTGAAGGGTCGCCTCGGTCGCAATTATCCACAGGCAGATACTATCACACACGCACACACACACACAAACACGCAGATTTGCAAACACGCATAAAGGGACAAAGGGATGAGTACATGCGTGGACATGTCCATTAATGTGCGCACGGACGGCAGAGACGCACATACATGGACAGCTATACACAAATACAAAGACAGATCTACACTATGAAAGGGCCGTGGTCCTGCCACGACCTACGAACTTGTTAGTTCAGGGCTCAAAGTGGATCACAATGGTGGGGCCGATTGAATTCCTCACCGAACTGCACAGCAAACATCTGAATACTTACGCTTCACAGGTTGTTTGCATTGTTTGCAGAATGCCCCGCAGACCTCATTGTGCAGAACCGATCCAATACTGACACACAACCGCGCAGTGTCACAAGTCAGTGTCCACCCTGGAGTTGAATAAAAGCTCGAGCAACAGCACAGCTCTATGGCAGACGATGCTTGGAGTAAGTTGTTGTCATGCGAATTGCTCTGAAGACCCTTTGGTGCCTCACGATTGAAGCTCTGTTCTCTGCAGGCGCGGTTTGGGCCTGGGAGCTGGGCGTGGCGGTCTCTCCAAGGTATCCGGGGGCTTATCTGAAAGACTTGCAAGAACTTGTCTGAAATTCAAGCAGAAAAAAGCGCGCACACACACACACACGCACACAAACACAGATGCAACGCTGTGTGCAGACGCAACGAGACGCTAGCAGCGAAGTCTCTGAACAGCCACACTTCGGCTTTGGGCCTCTCAACGTATTCCGGCTGAGCGACTTGCACTAGCATTAGGGGTGACAGCAGGTTGCTTCGAGCAACGGGAGATTCCAAGCACTAGACCAGCAACTGCAGCACTTGCCTACACGCGTCTTTCACTCCATCTTCGGACCCGGGACTGGCGCGCGATGTCCTCGAACCCTTGCAGCAGGAATGCTGCATGAGGAGATGACCACCCACATGTTGTTTCTCTGACAACATGTCCTATGAATTGGTGTCCTTGGCGGGTGGGCATAGTTCCGAAGACCGGCAGCAGCAACCATCGAAAGCGGATCCTTGCAGCAGGAATGCTGTATGAGGAGATCACAACCCACATGAGATTTCTCTGACAGCATTTGGAGAGTGCATGTGGCGTCGCTCAGTAGGGTTGCGGGGGGCGTTGCTGGTTGCGTGAGCATGCTTGTAGATCATTCCAACAGCGGCAGCAACTAAGCTTCAGTCATTCGGATTTGTGCAGAACGAGATATGAGTGCACTTCCTCTCTACATGC